ATCATACTTAACGAATCCAGATATGGATTGTTGTAAAGAAGACACCAAAATATCGTTATTGTCATCAACGAGCTCCAATATACGACGGGTAAGGTAACGTGCAGTGAACTGATGATGATTTTCCTCCCCCCTATTTGTTAGGCAAGTGTGGGGTTTGACAACTTTACTTATCCTCCACTTGCCGTCACTCTGTCTCTTTCGTGCATTTAACCTCCACATACAACCATTTTTGCATATCTCGTGGTACCTCAACTCCTGGTCCGAATGAGTGACGTTGTACGGCCTATGGTAATACACAGCATAGTCCTAAAGAAAGGGTTTTATCTCTGACATTGTATTGAATATCATACCCTTAATAAGGATTTCTTTCTCATAGTCATACAATGATTTCCTACACATCTGGAGACCGGTGTCACAAACTGTCATATCCGTCATGCTGACATCCCTATAGTTCGGAATGCCCCTGAAAGGTACGTTCATCGACCTTAGTTGCTCAAGCTCAGTCGCTGTGTAAGGTGGTGGTGGAACAAACTGCTGCGCTTCGCTAATTCTACCCCATGAATCATAGGAGGTATCATCTGCTGGTAAATCTGTGACTAGTCTACCCTGAGCCTAAATAGCATGTAAAACCTTACTTGGTACTGGTAATGGCATACCATGAACAGGTACTGGCATGGCATCAACCGGTGTGGGCATAGCATATCTATCTCCCTGGTCATCATTTGAATTATCCGAATCACTGCTAACTACATCACCGACCATGTCCTCCTCCTCCTGCTCCTCCTCTTCCAGTTCAAACTCGTTCATATCGAAGTCATTGCTTATACAGCCTACTTGACTTGAATGAAACTGCTCCTACGTCAACTAACCGTCTAAATCCATGTTACCCTGAGTTGCTTCCCCTTCGACCCTCAAATCTTGCTCATTGCTTCCACCGTCAATGGACCCCCATCTAGGACATCCTGCATCCTGTACCCATTCTCCACCACCACCTCAGTCATGAGCACATTGAAAACTTGGAGCACCCTAGTGTAGCGGGACCAATGAGCAGGGGCGCGCAAGGGCATTATGACATAGTGTGCCCTAGTCTTCCCGGTATCAAACCTCCTCTTTAGTGTGAAATTACCGTCAAACTTTACATTCAAACGGACACAAATGTCTTTGAAATTAGCAGGTTCATCAAACCATTTCAATTCTTCTTCTATATCCTCAAACATACAATCTTCTCTCCTAACACTTTCTCCGTAAAAAACTCTAACACAACAATCCATCTACAGAAGCATTTCAAGAAACTTTATCAAGTCGTCGAAATCGTCGTACGTACTGTCCATAATAATATTAATACCTATTCTAACTATAACTATACTAACTAATCTAATATTAACATCTATACAAGACTAACTACAACAACTAATTATACTAAATACAATGTATAACTAGACTCACTAACTGTACTAACTAAACTAACTAACTTTATTAACTATACTAACTTACTATAGTGCCTATACTAATTAAACTAACTATTTTTACTAACTATATTTTACTAACTATACTAACTTTACTTATTGTACTAATTTACTATACTAACAATGTCAATTCAATCAACAAATACACTAGGGGAGTACCTCATGGTAACGTCGTCTCTCTCGACCTCAGCATGGCGGTGGCGCTTCGATCCTTCTGGCGGAGGCTTGGCGCCGGACCGACGGCATGGCGCGGGTTGACACGTGATAGAGAGAGGGGCATGTGGCAGTTGGGAGCGGTGTATAGCGTGGCAGTGAGGGTGGCGCGGTAGTCGTGGGCGCGTCAGTGAGGATGACGGAGCGACAGTGAGGGTGGTGGCGGGCGGGATGGCAGGACGTGGCGGCAGTGGCGATGGCGGCGGCGGCGTGCGCGGGCGGCGCCTCCGTATGGCGGCGTGGGCGTGGCGGCGGCGGCGGCGTGGCGTGGGCGTGGGCGGGTGCTTGGTGCGCGGTATGGCGTGGCGCGCGCGTGGCGTGGCGCGCGGCGGGCGGTGGTGTGGCGCGTGGCGGACTAGGCCACGTGCCTATATTAGGCTCTGCCGCGCCCTGGACGGTGGCGCGCCACTGCAGCGCCATGATTCCTGGCGCGTCTCCGCCGTGCCCTGATCGGTGGCGCATCAGAGCCGGCCACGTCACCGGTCAGGGACCTTGGTCGCTGCCACGTGGGCAGTCTCGCCACGCCCCCATGCATGGCGCGGCAGCGTTAAATCGCCACGCCGTGCGAATAGGTGCTGCCAAAAGTGTTAGATTTGAAAAATAAATAAAGAGTGTTAGTTTTAAAATTAGTTTAGAAATGTGTTAAAATAAAAAAAATTCTCTGCTGCTCGGAATTCGACTTATAGCCCACTGGGCTGCACGCTAGATGAGGCTCCGGGTTGATGGGCTGTACGGGTCGTCGTCAGATGATCTGATGAATCTGGTCCGACAAGCTATACAGTTTAAGCCCAGACCGGCCCGTTCGTGTCATGAATGATTGCAGCGGACGCAACCGGCGTGACCGGTGCGCCATCCTCGTGACAGAATTACTGTGCAGGGGGACGCGCAGAGCGAGGTTCGTCAGTAGGACAGCTTGTGACAACAAAAAAACCCAGAGACAGCATGAATGCGCCGTTGTACCAGTATATTGATGATTTGCCGGTCCGTGCATCGCGCATCACGTACGTACTAGATCTGCTTTTGCGTCGCCATGATGCCGGGCATGACTCTGTGCTCTGTACTCTACTGCAGAACGTATTTGTATGTTTCTAATACAATAAACTCAATATACGGCCGCAGAAATACGACGACCGGTGAAGACGGATCCCAGCGGTATTGCATCGTCAGAGAAGCAGATCATTGCTGCCTGCATGACCGGGCCCATGACTAGCGGCCTAGCGCGTTTGACGACGAATGGATGGCCCCGTGGAATACTCTCCCTCACTAAATATCTATCGTTTTCGTTTAAAAAAAACAACTTTAACTAAATATATACTAAAAAATATTAATATTTATGGTACATAATTAGTATTTTTAAATCTAGTTTTTTAATAAATTTATTTGGAGATATAAATGTTATACGTATTTTCTACGAATCAAATCGAAGCTTATGGTACGTACACCAACGTCGACAGTTATTTAGGAGCTTAGGGAGAGCACGCCTAAAACAGAAGGGTTTTCAGAGGCAATGCATGGAGTTCCCAGGGTTTTGTTCGCTGAACGTGCTCCTAGATCGGACAACGAACCAACCATCGACCAGGAGGGACCTGGAGTCTGGAGAACAAAAACATCTGCATTTTGCTTCAGGCTGGAACTCTGCACTGCATCTAATCTGCGCGGCCTTTTACGGAGTTTCTAGCTTTCTACTAGCACCTGTAAATTGGAGTCCGCTGTCCGCCCCAAACCGAAGCAGAATTTCTTGCAGCTAGTACTGTTAAAAGTGGCGTTAAGCTGTAGGTCAACCAGGCAATGTGCTCAGAAGTTACTGCCCGGGCCGGCCCTTCATCACAGGTTAATTTACTGTCAGGATGATTCAGGGATCACACTGTCACAGGGGTAACAGCATCTAGCAGCCGACAACATATGGCGCGTTAGATTCCATCATCCATGACCACGAGGACATGATGAAGGGTACTGCGCGGTGTAGTGGTAGTTGTCACGTGACACTGCCTGCCAGGTGGGGTCGATGCCTTTATTTGGGGCCGCCCTGGGTCCACCGCGCAGTGCTACTTTTGGATTAGATTTTGGTGCTTGCGAGAAGAAGACAGACACGTCATCGTCACGCACGTCGCAGCCGGGTTGGGGAAGAAAAGGAGAGGATTTGCGCGCGTCTTGTGGAGATTGGAATAGCCCGCGCGTCGGTCCGTGATCTCGGAACAGTTTTCATGGCGCACGAGATGACACAGTAGGAAGAACCAACATGCAGGCTGCCGGGAGTGAGACAATCTGCAATGCCCGGGGGGCCCTGCGACCAGCCTTTCGGACGGTCGTTCCGTACGGCACGAATAGGCACCATCCGATCTGGGTAGGCTCAAAAGGTTGATGAATAGTTTTTTTTTTGAAATATCACGCAGTAGGATCGTTGTTTGTCTCATTACATTGCAAATAGATGAACCGTTGGTATTATTTGGTTATGCTCGTGAATATTTGTTCTGGAACAAAATGTAATTTCCAGGGAACTTTAGTTAGTTTGTTGATGAAAAGGCCCAAGGAACCAACATGCAGAAAGTCGGAACAAAAACTGCTCCGTCGAATTGGACAGTGGACACTATCACTGTGCGTGTGAGGTGAGTAGTAACCCAGAGACCAGAGCATGCTCCGTTTTAACTCTTGGAAGCTCCAGGCCGTGGGCTCAGTCTCTGGGCAGAGGAGGCCGTAGTTCTGGCCATTTTACCATCCACACACGGCGGGCGTGATCCACGGATCAGCCCATGAACCCCGGGGGCCAGGTCCCCCAATCCAAGCTACAGGCTATACAGCCTACAGGTTACGTTCTCGACCGGCAGCCACCAATCCAACGGAAGACACCCATGACCCACCGGACCGCCGCGCCACCCACCCACCTCGTCAGTTTCGTGTTCGTCAGCAGCGGGCACGGGTGAAAAGTGAAAACTGCTGTTGTTCCGCGTACGGCGTGACCACCAGGCACCAGCACGGCCGCACCGCCCTTTCGTCCCGCTCACAAGCGCATTACGCTCGTTGTCACCGAGGCGAGCAGGCAAGGCGAGTAGTACTATACTTTCTTTACGTCTCCCCACCAACGCCGCGCCGCGCTAAAGCGGACGCACACGCACCACCCCACCCCGGCATCCGCACGCTGCCGCTACGGACAGCCAGAGCCGAAAGAAAACCCGTAGCAGCGCTCACGGTCACGGGCGCGCCCGCCCGGGCAGGAGCAGGAGCAGGAGCAGGACAGGACACTCCCATTGCCCTTGCCCCGCTCGCTGCTCCACACACCCCACTCCGCTACACACATCAGCCAGCGCTCTTCGGACGGCCGCGATGGCGGAAGTGGCGGCGCAGCGCGCCGTCGGCGTCCCAGCAGGGGGCGGCGATGAGCAGGCGAACCTTGCGGCGGCGGCGGCGGCAATGCGGGGGCGCGCCCGCGGCGAGGTGGACACGTCGTCGCCGTTCCAGTCCGTGCGCCAGGCCGTCGACCTGTTCGGCGGCGGGGCGGCCGCCGTCTCCCAGTGGCGGCACCCGCAGGCGCTGCCGCCCGTCCACCTCCGCCCAGAGGTCAGTCAGTCAACCGGAGCCCGTCCCCGGGTACCTTTTGCTTGCGGCTTTAGTTTATGCAAAGCGCGGCAGTGGCCTTCCGCTTTTCAAAGCGCAGGCGCAGCGCAGGAGGGTGGCGGCGGCATGCTTGCCATCGCACCGCTCTCTCAGCTAGTAGCTTTTTCAAAGCGCCTTGGCATTTCTTGGTCAATTTAGTTTGAGATCGGCCGTGCCTACACGGTTTTGGAGTGTAACAGTTCATAAACGCGAGGGTTTTACTCCAATTTGCTTTCTAGTACTAGCAATGTTGTTCGTATAACAGCTGTGGTTTCTGGTTTTAATTTTGGGGAGGGCAGAGCAGACGACATCCGAACTACGCAGCATTCTTTTCGGGTTTCGGCGAAGTGGTTGGCGTCATTGCTGTGGGTGTCTGGGTGACTGTGACAAGCCATTGTGGGACTTTGGTATCAATCTGGAGCCGAAAGGAACCAAATGCATGATGGCATTTACTACTACTAGCTAGTAGTAAGCTGGGTGTCCTCTTCGGTCCGACATTGCGAGGAATAGAGGTCCACTATTAGAACTTGATGCTGTTGGGTTATGAATTATGAGCAGTCGTCAGCAGTTACCAGCCTCTCGCCTTGCCTGTTGCACACTTACAAGCACTGTATCCTGGAAGAGGTGAAATATGGTGCAGCATAACAGGATGTAAAGGTAGTAATACAGCATTACAACTGACAAGCAAAGATGAATTGCTACAGTTCAAGTAATTTGACCAAGGGCAACAGCTTTGCCGGTGTTTAAGATTTACGGTTACACATCATCACCTGATTTTTCATTTCTCCTAAAAAAAAACTCGACCTGCGGGGGTTATGACGGCCCCCGGGTTTTCCATTAATAAGAATGATCTCTCTCAGATCGAAACCCCGAACCCCCGCACCCATCCTGACGCAGGAGGTGCCGTAACCCTGTGAGAACCGGGCCGGGGCCTTTCCACTGCGCTTTGGCACATGGGGACGGGCGAGGGGATTTTTTTAACCTAACCATTTGAGCTGGCGCCCTTTGGCTTCTAAAAAAAAAAGAAGATGGCCATATTTTTATTTGACTTTTTTTTTTTTGCAAGACACAAGTTGTTAGTTAGTTTTGTCCAATATACAACCCCATATAGTTTGTTGTAAAAAAAAACCCATATAGTTTGCTTGGGATCCTGGTTTGTCACAACTAGGAGGAAGTTATGGTTTTAATGTATTATGTATTATTACTCGAGGAGACAACTAAGCAAACTATTGGCATTATTTCTAGGTATGTCAAGACTACTATTAATATGGTATTTCATACAGGTCCTAGTGTGGAAGTGCTTAGACCAGAGTACAGGAGGTGATGCCGACAATTTTGGCATTAGCTGAACATGTGAGGCATCCAAGGATTCTTAGATAGGATGTTGGAGGCGCTGCTGTATTACTAGATGTCATATAAGAATCAGGAGCCAATTGAATAGTCGTATTTTAGTGTTTTTCTTCTTAAGTCTTTCAGTGTAAGACGTTGCCAATGTTTTTCAGTTTCTCCCAAGTATACTTTCTTATGAATTGCACTGTGATGAGCGACTGATGAAGTAACCTATGGAAATTTAAGTTGGAATTACTGATTGTCATTGTTGCCAAATTTTTATCTTCTATTTGCTGTTTGGCTGGTTATTGATTGCCATGTTATTCAGAACATATAAGGTGGTTTCAGTTTGAACTTTATTCTTCACCTTCGCATTAGATGTCCAATTTTGAACATATTCCTTCAAAGAAGAGTTCTCCCTCTATGCATTTTTCTGTGTTGTGTGTACAGTGTACGGTTCATTTCTGTTCTTCATAAATAAAATCTGTATTCTTACTCTGTTCATTGACACCATTTATTTCAGGAAGAAGAACTTATGAAAGTTGAGGAACAAACAGTGAAGCTGGAGATGGAACTTTTTGTTAAGGAAAAGGAAACATTTAAGGTCTTGAAAGAACTACAGGAAACAAAGCAGGTTATAGATGGCTTGAAAGTACAAATAGAGAAGGTAACAGCAGAGGACACAAATGCTGCAAAAGGCCATGCTGATACATGGATAGTACATCCACTTCCTGCTGTCGAACAAAAATCCAGTAGCCATACCGAGCCACCAATCCAGAGCACAAAAGGTACACAGTCCCCACTCACCACGTTGATCAAGCTGAATCAGGCAAAAGCATTCCTTAACACGGATACTGTCAACATGTTAAAGAGCCAGATAGAGAAGGAGAAAGGGTCACTTGAGAAAACCCGTGAAAGGTTACAATTCAACCTGGGGAAGGCTTCATCATTAGAAGCAGATTTGACCAAAACTGTTGCTCAGCTGCAAGCAGTAAAAGCGCCACAACCTGTCCTTGAGCCTTCTGAAATCTGGTTGCAGATGAAGCACTTGAATGCTGAGAAAGCGAAGCACAAGAAGGTGTCAGAGGATTTGAGAAACGAGATTTGTGAATTGACAGCTGCAATCGAGCACACAAGGTCTAAGAAAAAGACTCTGCAGTTCAGAATCGTCATGGCGGAGAAACTGAAGGAAGCTTCCCAACGTGGAGAATCTATTGCTCTTGCAGAGATGAAAAAACTGAGCAACGGGCGGGACCTGAACGCCACCACTTCTGATGTCACACTCTCTGTTGAGGAGTACTCTACGTTTGTGCTCAAAGCACAAGAAGCAGATGGTGCCACTAGGAAGAAAATTGACGCAGCAATGCAAGAGCTCGATCAAGCAAACCAGTGTAAGCTAGAACTCTTGGAAAGAGTGGAGGAAGCAATGGCAGCTGTCGAGACGAGCAGGAAGGCTCTGGAGGAGGCGCAGAAGAGGGAGGAATCTGAAAACAAAGCCAAGCTTGCAGCTGAAGAGACGCACCGAAAACTGCGGTCAGACCAAATAATCCAGAACTGGCGCCCGATCAACAACAGTTCTGTAAAATTCAAGAACACGGCACTGGCACCACCCCGGAGAGCAGCAGGCTCTGGGATATATGATGTGAACGGCCTGAGCCTGGTGACCACGGGCCCAAACAACGTGAAGACGGTGTCCATCGGACAGATCCTGAGCATGAAGCTGGACCGCGAGCTTGAAATGGCAAAGACCACGAACACGAGGAAGAAGGTTTCTCTCGGGCAGATCCTGAGCCAGAAGTACGAAATGTTCTCCCCGTTGCGGATAGACCACGACTGCGGTTCGCGCAAACAGTTCCAGCCGAGGAGGAAGAGAATGGGGTTCGTCGTGTATGCGCTGCTGCTCGCAAAGCAGAGGCACAGGAGGAGGAAGGCCTGCACTCATGGTGGCTTCAGCTAGTTAGTTTGGATGGTCAGTACCCAGCCGCGTTGTAGTCGTTTATATGCTTTATTAAGAGATCGGAATAATCGTTGCCTGTGTCATTAGTTAGTTCTATGAACAAAGTTGGTATTTTTAGCAGCTATAAGTACATTACATACCTGGCGTATATGTCTCGAGTTGGCGAATTGCCACAGCGCTCTCTTTCTGAATATTCCGAGCCGATGACGGGCGCGCTCTTCATCTGCAAAACTCCTGCGCACGGCAGCGATTGCCAGTTCACTCTGTCTGCGTGCATGGCGCTTCGCCGTTCAACCACTCATTCACCGCCCGGCTTTAGTTTACCAATGTGAATCCGGCGTTACACGCGACAGGCATCATGCACGGCGGAGGGCGTGCGCCGCCTCTGAACAAAGAGGGGAACGCGGGGCTGTCGCTACCTAGCCAAACTCCTTACTGGGCCAAATGCTACCAGTGCTCGCCGATGGGCTCGCACATCCTCTGCCAACATTTTTTTTCTCACTAGTGGGCCTCAACTACGGCCTCTCAAGAGCCCATGGAACGCGGAATCCGCTGATGTGAGAGCCCGCGTCACCCAAGAGCCCAACGAGTCCCCTGCGGCCCTGTCCGCGTGACCGCGTACCGGAGCGCGCGAAAACCACATCTTCCCGCCACACCGCGCGCCAACTCCCGCCAAAACGCGCCGCCTTCATCCCCACCCTTACCCCCAAATCCAAACCCGCCCGCCCGCCGCAGCCCCCATTCCCGCGCCCCCGTCCCCTTCCTCCAGCAGCCGCGCTCGCTCTCTCTCGGCCTCGCGTTTCGTCTCCGAAGCCGCAGGCAGCCATGGACGTCAACGAGGAGGCCATGGCGGCGCACAAGCGCGCCTTCCTCGACTTCCTCGACCAAGACGTAAGTCCCCTCGCCATCCCTAGCGCCGCCGCCGATTCGCCGGGTCCTCGGCTGACGTTCTTGCCTTCCACCGCAGGTCGGGAAGGGGGTTTACATGCAGGCCGTCCGCGACATGGTACAGAACAAGCGCCACCGCCTCATCATCGGCATGGACGACCTCCGCAATCACAACCTCGATCTCGCCCGCAGGTACCCCGCCGCTGCCATCCCTCGCTTTCTCGTCCGTTTCTGTTGTTCTGTTGGGCAAGTTCCTGCTTTCCTGGCTGATGCGGTCTGCCCTTGCGTGTGAATAGGGTGATTCGGAGCCCCGGGGAGTATATGCAGCCGGCGTCGGACGCGGTGTCGGAGGTAGCAAGGAACCTGGATCCCAAGTTTTTGAAGGAAGGGGAGCGCGTGATGGTGGGCTTCTCGGGGCCGTTCGGGTTCCACAGGGTCACGCCCAGGGATCTCATGTCCTCCTTCATCGGCACCATGGTCTGCGTTGAGGGCATCGTCACCAAATGTAATGGCTCACTTCTCCCTTTCAGCAGATGGACCACATTGTTGTTATGCTCTGGTTCCAGTCATACTGCTTAATGAATGCGCTTTGTTTACATGGTACTGGATTGCGTTGTCTGGGTCTTTTTGAACAGGTTCCAAATTAAATTCTAGCAGTCTTCCTGCTGGTGGATTGAAGTTTTTGTGGTAGTTCAGTTGGTTCCTTTGTGGTAAAGGGAAACTGCAAAACAGAATGGGTAAAATTGTCCTTGTTTAGCTGTGTCAGTAAAAACTGAATATGAATGACAATGTCAGAATGACTGAGCTACTCGAATTTGCAATGAAACTTTAGTATTGACTTATATTAATTCATCACTAATGTTGTGCATATGGCATACTAATTTGATGCTAACTACTTTGTGTATCAAACTATTACTCCATGCCCAGCAATTTACTAATACTTTAGCATAGATAGACACCAGATTTCTAATGAAGTACCTCTACACCTTTGAGTGCTAATCATATTTTTCCTCCTGAAAAAACAGGCTCGTTGGTAAGGCCAAAAGTTGTTAAGAGTGTTCACTTCTGCCCTGTGACTGGAGCCTTTCTCTCGCGTGAATACAGGGACATCACTTCATTTGTAGGCTTGCCTACTGGCTCTGTTTATCCAACAAGGGTATGTTCCTATTTGCTCTCTGCAATTTCATTCAACCAACCCCTTTGATACTGTAGTTGTAATGCTGCTCAATCTGGAATGGCTAGGATGAGAATGGTAACTTGTTGGTCACCGAGTATGGAATGTGTGAATACAAGGATCACCAGACATTGTCGATGCAAGAAGTGCCTGAAAATTCTGCACCTGGACAGCTCCCAAGAACTGTCGATGTTATTGTAGAAGATGATCTTGTAGATTGTTGCAAACCTGGCGACCGTGTCTCAATTGTCGGTGTATACAAGGCTCTACCAGGGAAAAGCAAGGGAAGTGTTAGTGGTGTGTTCAGGTTAGTTCAGCTATGACTATGACCCTCACCAAAGCTGGCTTCAATTTACCTATTTCTGAAGTATGATGTGGTTTTGTATTACTATGTCTGTAGAACTGTCCTTATTGCAAATAATGTGTCGCTTCTTAACAAAGAGGCAAATGCGCCTGTCTATACTCGGGAAGATCTGAAGCGGATGAAAGAAATATCAAGGAGAAATGACACCTTTGACGTGCTGGGAAACTCACTTGCTCCATCCATATATGGTCATCTATGGATAAAGAAGGCAGTAATACTATTGATGCTTGGTGGCGTTGAGAAGAATCTAAAAAATGGAACTCACTTGAGAGGGTAAGTGATGTTTCAGATCATTACTGACACATGATTTCATTGATTGTGCTTTATTTATTTATTATTTCTTTGGCATACAGAGATATAAACATGATGATGGTGGGAGATCCTTCAGTTGCCAAGTCCCAGCTCCTAAGAGCTGTCATGAACATTGCCCCTTTGGCTATCTCAACAACTGGCAGGGGTTCCTCTGGTGTTGGTTTGACTGCTGCTGTGACATCTGATCAAGAGACTGGTAAATTACGCAACTCTACTTAGTGCATTGGTATTCATTTTCCTGTAAAGCCACATGACAAATTTCTGTTCAGGGGAAAGAAGGCTTGAAGCTGGTGCCATGGTTCTTGCTGATCGTGGTGTTGTCTGCATTGATGAGTTTGATAAAATGAATGATCAAGACCGAGTTGCTATTCATGAAGTCATGGAGCAGCAAACTGTAACCATTGCAAAGGCAGGAATACATGCCTCGCTAAATGCGAGATGTAGTGTAATTGCTGCAGCAAATCCAATATATGGAACTGTAAGCTCTTATCATTTCTTTCCCTAGCTCCATAAGCGTGTCCATTTGATTGTTTGCTGTTTCTGACAATACTTTCTGGCCTTATGACAGTATGATCGATCGTTGACGCCAACAAAGAATATTGGGCTTCCTGATTCACTGCTTTCCCGTTTTGATTTACTTTTTATTGTTCTTGATCAAATGGATCCTGAGATTGACCGGCAAATTTCGGAACACGTTGCTCGAATGCATAGATATTGCACTGATGATGGAGGTAGCTTTGCTATTTTACAGTCAAATAGATTTGTTCAGTTCTTCAATTCTTTTCATTTGCTTAATAAAAGACAAACCTCATAAACTGTAGGAGCAAGGTCTCTTGATAAAGATGGAACTGCTGAAGAAGATGATGGTGATGCTATTTTTGTTAAGTATGATAGGATGCTCCATGGTCAGGATAGAAGAAGAGGAAAGAAAGCTAAGCAGGATAGGCTAACTGTCAAATTTGTGAAGAAATATATTCATTATGCGAAGAACCTTATTCAACCAAAGCTCACTGATGAGGTAACATTTTCCACTATTGTGCATTAATATACCATGTTTTCCTCACACCAAGGTGAGGGCTTGGATGTGCACTGAAATTCGAGCTCAACATGAGATAACACTCTGTACGACATGGATCTCACTGCACATCTGCACATACAGTGACACTGCATATGTGTGCCTCACCTTTGGGGGTGAGAAAAGTGTCTTGAGTGTTTATGGAAGAGCTACAGGTCTGGATCCATGCAGAATTTAGAGTTTGTATGATATCAAATTCTCAATCTTCCAACAGTTCCAAATCCAGGAATTTCTGGACCAAGTGATGACCACAGCTCCAAAAAATTCTTGGAGCTGAAACTCTGCCGAACAGGCATTTATTTTTCATTGCAATGTGACCTTGTGTGGGCTGCTTTCTTTTTCCTTCCTCTTCAATACACTTCCTGTATTTCAATGTTTTTTTATTGTATTCTCAATTCTTCAAGAGATGAAGAGAATCTCTTACAAAATACAAAGGTCTCCCTTCAGATATAGCATTGAAATTCTTCTGCTGCAGGCATCTGATCATATTGCAACTTCATATGCTGAGCTCAGGGATGGTAGTGCAAATGCAAAGGTTTGATTCAAGCATTGCTGTCTGCTGTCTTGTTAATGGTATATGTTTGTAGCTCTCATTTGTTCACCTTTGTGTTTTACAGTCCGGTGGAGGTACACTTCCAATTACAGCAAGGACACTGGAAACCATAATCCGTCTATCCACAGCTCATGCCAAGATGAAACTGAGACATGAGGTATTTTGTTAATTCCACTCGCAACCTACCCACATCAAGAACTCTCTGGATGAATCACAGTTCCTATTTGTTTGCTCATGATTTTCCTATAACTTCACCAAGAAATGAAGCAATTTCTCCATTTTACAAACAGTTTAATTTTTGGAAGGTTAAGTGAGCCATTTGTCCTTGAAGATCACATCATGGCAATGTCTTGTGTTGCAGGTTCTGAAATTCGATGTTGAGGCTGCATTGCAAATTCTAAATTTTGCAATATACCACAAGGAATTGACTGAGATGGAAGAGCGTGAACAGAGAGAAATGGAGAAGAAACAGCAAGCTGATCATGATGCAGGTGCAACTGGTGGCACTGAGGATGGGCATGGAAGGTGATTTTAATATTTTATAACTTTGTCCATATACCCACTTGTCTGAACTTTTTTAAGAACTAAGTAGCTTATTTGCAGTATGTTTCCCATCCCAGCCTTTTGTTTAGTT